ATCTGTAAATAGGAAGGAGAGTTAAAGAGAGAACAGTACTACAATCCATGACACACTCTCCACTTGATCCCACTGCTAGAAATCTAATTTGATTTTATGTCTAGGGATATAAGCCCCAGCCTCACTACCCACTCGTTCATTTACTTTCCCACCTCCAATTCATGGGTTAGAGAGCTCAGTACCAGTCTGCTGCTACAGGTTTGGGATTAAAAGTCCCTACACCCACATTGTAATAACAGCATTTCAAAGTATCCCCAAGTGGTTGAGCTCATTCTCAGCAACTCTTTCCACTCCAACACCCGTGTCTTTTCTAAACACAACCAATACCTCATATGGGTTGGTTCACAGCTTTACATTCTAGCTGCTCTGTCTTTCTCCATAGAAATTACTTCTTTGAGGAGAGGCTTAGCATGAATATTGACCAAGGAGCTGAGGCTCCAGGGAGACTGGAGGACCTGCTTCTCCTTGATATTATCTGTGTGGTCAAGAGTAGAATCCTTCACTACTCTGAAATTCAGATCCTTCATCTGTGAAATGAGAGTAAGGCTATCTGCTTCATAGGATTATTGTGAATACGATGTGTGATGACAAATGGGAAAACACTTAGTGGAATACTAGCATAATAAAAGGATACTAGTTTTTTTTTTTTTTTTTTTTTAAGAATTTTTGGGTAGTATTGAAGGGCACAAATTTGGATTAAGACAGAATCCTGGCTCTGTCACTAATTGTGTGATCTCGGGCAAGTCACTAAACCTCTCAATTTCAACCTTCTAGAAAATAAAGGTATTAATAATATCTATCTCTTCAGGCTTCTGGGAAAATTGAATGAATTGATTCATATAAAGAGTTTGGCATAATGCCTGGCACTTAGTAATACATGTTAGCTATCATTATTACCACTTAATCCACCCTACAAGACAGACATCCACAATCCCATGCACACACACGCACACACATGCACACACACACACACATTGCAGGTGTTTTCAAAATAGAAATTCAAAGACTATTTTACCCGTGTAACAAAGTACTTCCGTGATGAGTAAGAACTGTGATAGGGATTAGGGTAGAGTGTTGATTCAGTCACGCTTGTTTGCCTTGAAATCTGCATTGCTTCTGAGTCCTCGCCTGGGTCCCCCTCCTCTGTGGACAGGTGATCAGTTTCGGAGGGGTGGTCACCTCCCTCTTGCTTCAGAGACACAGCCTGGAAACCTTCAAAACTTCCAACCATTGACATTTTTTCAGCCTGAAAGAAGAAACCATCTTCTCATTAAAGAAAAAAAAAAAACCTATGTCCAAGCTATGACAAACTAGGTTAATATGAGTAAATGATGTTCCTGAAACGGACAAACTGACCTACCATAGGTTCCTAAATGTCAACCATCATTCTGTACGGCCATTTACAGAGGGGACAAGCAGGGACCCTTTGGACACAGAAAAAGAGCCTGCAAGTCATTCCATTTCTCATCTTTAATCCCAGGGAACAAGACGTTGAACAAAGGAGAGCAGTATGAAATATTTATCAGACAATTTCTTTCCACGATTTCATAGCCTTGTTGCGTGAAAACCCACCAGGCACATCTAAGGATGAGAAGTCACGAAAATGCACATTTTCACTTGTTTCTTGGGTTCATCTAGAGTGATAATAGGGCACAGAGGCATT